GGAGTTTTTTTCTCATAATGCGTTGCACTTACTTATATATGCTCAGTAACATGCTCAACAGTACAACAATTTAATTCGCTTAAAAACGGGTTAATTTGTTTTTTTCTCATAATGCGTTGCACTTATTTATATATGCTCAGTAACATGCTCAATAGTGCAACAATTTAATTCGCTTAAAAACGGGTTAATTTGCTAGGGTTTAATCTTGAAAAGGGAATGTATAGCTAAGTTACCTTCACAATAACCAGTGGAATTTTTCTCAAATCCTGTCAGACATGTACATAAATATCCACCTTCAGTATCTTCGCATGTACTGTTTTGCGGGCAAGGAGAAGACATTTCAATACATTCATTCACATCTAGAAGTAAATAATTATAAATAGGTAACTTTTTGATAAAACAACATCATGACCAAATACATATGACGTGTGATGAGATCGTGCTTCTAGGTCATTGACACTCGCTGTTAAACTTCCAACAATCATTTGATGGCACATGCGGCCAATGCCATGTTATGTTGAGAAATAGAAGACTGTAAATATCCTCTCTAGTATTTATGTACTTGTTTTAGCAAGAAGAATATTTATTTGGCCAATAAAAACAAATATGTCTGTTTCTTAGAACATCTATATTTAGAACGAACATTGCCGAGGAAAAATCAACATTCCAAATAATAAAATTGTCGTGAAATCTTCGGAAAATACATTGAATTTAATTACGTGAGTTACTTTGTACAATTATAGTGTAAGTTACTACAAAATGACCAAGACTGCGAGGGGGGGGGGCATAAATTTGGAGTTGCACTGTATGTGTATATATTTTATATTAATATACGATTGCAATCTCTAATACATTCCTGGCACTTGTTCAACTGTAATGATTTGTTCACAATTCTAGAAGATGATGATGTGATATAATGAATCCATGATAGTTCAGCTCTCAATAAAGGTCGTCAATTAATCTTTATGGACTGGATAGGCTGGGCCGGACGTGATACGAAAAATTATTACGCTGTTGGGAGAGCGCCCTTTCCATAGCGTTACGAGGCGACTTCATGTAGAAAGATTGTGTAATGTAATACTTACTTATACATGTATTATTTCTGATATATTGTTTGTATCCATCATCACATGTGCATGTATATGATCCTATAGTATTGACACAGTGAGCATTGTTTGGACACTCAACTAACTGTTGGTCACTACATTCATCGATATCTGAGTTCAGAAAAAAAACGATTATTAATGACGCAAGACATCATAATCAGTTGGTCCAAATGCATTGATGACTGTTGTTCACGTCAAATTATGGCATCGCTGACTGGGCCCAAATGCATTTACGCCATTAAATTACGATAAAAGAGAATGACAAGATCGATAA